TGCTTCCAGAACTCTCTGAAGGGCTGGTTTTGTGGACAAGAATTCCTTCAGCCTATTTATGTCATGGAAGATTTTTCTTTCCCCTTCAACTATATTTTATTATTTTTATTTTATGTGCATGAGTATATTGCCTGCTTACGTGTAAGTGCACCCATGTCATGCAATGCCCACAGACATCGGAAGAAGGCATCAGACTCCCTGGAACTGGAGTTACGGATGGTTGTTAGCCATCATGTGAGTGCTGGGAATCTAACCTGCGTTCTCTGTAAGTGCAGTCAGTGCTCTTAAGCACTGAGGCATCTCTCCAGCCCATACCTATTTTTTAAAAATAGTTATCACTATAATACCAGTACCTCACCTTATTTTTAACAGTAAGTATTTAATATCATCATATATGTAGTCAGTATTCAAGTTTCTCTATCTGTCTCACCAAAATATTTCTATTTTATTCCTTTCTGGTCCCTTTGAAGTCCGTCTTTTCTTGAGTCTCCTTTCATTGAACAGCAAGTTAAATCTTACTGAAATAGTCTTTCCCATGTCACTCCTCTCTTCCAAGCAATTGTCTTTTATTACCAGTCCTTGAACTCCTTCTTTCTTTTTCCAAATATGTAACTAAATGATAGGTCTGTTTTACATAAAGCATGAATTGTGAACATCTCATAGTTTAAAACTTCCATAACTCAAATATCATATTGACAGAGAATAGAGGTTTGTTTTGATTGTGAGCTAAATTAATACTATCTTCAAGACCATGTTCATGGACTATGTTGCTTGGTAATAGCACACATTATCCTTGAGATCTGAATTTATTGAATCTTTAGAAAAATTTTTCATTAGGTTGGAACTTTATATTCTTTTATATTGCATATTCAGTGACCATTTATTAGTACTTTTAAATTTATTTTAACTGATGAATCAAAAACATAAAGATTGTGCATATTAATAGGGTGCCATGTAATGTTTGGATATGTGTATACATTGAATAATGTGAAACTCATGTTCATATATTTAGCTCTTCAAACATATATCATTTCTTTTGGGTGAAATTTTTTGAAATCATCTCTTTTTTTTACATGTACAGTACATTCTCATTATCTGTAGATAATGCTATGTGATAGGACTCCAGACCTCCTTGCTTTTGTCAAAAAAACTTAGTTCCCATTGAGCAGTCATTCCCACATCTCTCTCCTTCCACTGTCCCCAAGCCCTGGAAGTCAACCATTCTATTTTCAACTTGTACAAGTTCAACTTTTTTTAGATTCCATATATGAATGAGATCATGTGATACATGTGTTTCTGTGCCTCAGTTATTTCACTTAAAATATGGATCTCCAATTCCATCCATGTTGAACAAATGGCAGAATTTTATTTCTTTTGGGGATGAGTACTAATCCTCTGAGTATATGTATCACATTTTCTTTACCCTTTCATCAGTTGCTGGACAGTTATATATTTTTCCATTTCGTGGATATTATGAGTAGTACTACAGTGAACATGGAAATGCAAATGTCTCTGACATACTGATTCCGTTTCTTTTGGATAAGGTAGTTTGTGTGTGTGTGTGTGTGTGTGTGTGTGTGTGTGTGTGTGTGTGTGTTGAGACCAAGTATTACTGTGCATCCCAGGCTGACCTCAAACTCATGATCCTCTCACCTCAACCTCTCCCATCTCAGCCTTGGTTCCAAGTGATGGCATTGCAGATACGTATATATTTTTTTAAATATCTCACAGTTTAGAAGTTGCAGCTTAATATTGCATATAAAATCAAATAACTGCCCTGTATTATATTCTCTAAGCATATTTCCTGTTGTCATATCTTTGCAAATAGAAATATTGTTACTTCTTTTCTGCCTAGAAAAATCCTACTAATTCTCTGACATTTAAAATGTTGAAGCCTTCCCTCTCTAGAGAGAATGAACTACACACACACACACACACACACACACACACACACACCCTTTTGATGCTGGAAATGGAACTCATGACTTTACTTATGCTAAGCAAGTGCTGTACCACTGAGCTACATCCACAGTTCCCTTTTGTTTCTCTGAAACACCTTGCTCATATGCAATACACTCATTTTGATATAACTTGTAAGCAATTCTATCATTACTCTTAGTATGCACATCTTCTTACCTGGACCATATGTATGTATGCTGTCACTGGACCTAGTACAATGATTTTTGCTTTTCATATAAAATTTTTATTAATGATCTTAGCTATTTTCTAATTGAATATCCTTTTATTGAATTTTTCCAATTAAAAATGAAATCTGATTTTAGATATGATTGTGAAAATTTAATGAAATGATTTTTATCAATTGCCTGGTAACTGCAGTGCAATACCTAACACAGGTGCTTAGAAACATTTCCCTTCTTTTTTGTTTTTTAGTGTGCTCCTGCCTCATTTCCTTCATTATCATATATCCTTCCATGAGAACAGAGATTTTCTTCTTTCATTGTTCACATGTCCCTTCAGGGTACTAATGGTAGCTATTTCTCACCTCTCATTTATTTGTTTATTTAGGTCACTGGTCCTGTTCAGATCAGAGATTCCCCTGTGACAGCTGACAGAAATAATATGACATCTCCACCACTCCTGGATTCCAACTCAATGGAGAACCCGGCCTTGTTTAATGACATCAAGATTGAACCACCAGAAGAACTCCTGGCTAGTGATTTCAATCTGCCGCAGGTGGAACCAGTTGATCTCTCCTTTCACAAACCTAAGGCTCCTCTACAGCCTGCTAGCATGCTGCAAGCTCCAATATGTCCTCCCAAGCCACAGTCTGCAAACCAAGCCATTATGGTATCTACTTCAACATCTGACACAAGTACTTCAGCAAACATCCCTACTGTTCTGACTCCAGGCTCTATCCTGGCCTCATCTCAGGGGACTGGTGGCCAGCCAATTTTACATGTGATTCACACCATCCCATCAGTCAGTTTGCCAAATAAGATGGGTGGGCTAAAGACCATCCCTTTGGTGGTTCAGTCTTTGCCCATGGTCTATACCAGTTTGCCTGCAGATGGGAGCCCTGCAGCCATTACAGTCCCACTAATTGGAGGGGATGGCAAAAATGCTGGATCAGGTGAGCATCAGTATTTCCCCCTTCCTAGGGGTCACTTTCCTTCAACTGATCTCTTTGAGTCATCGTATCTTGTCTCTTTTCATCTCCTCAAATTTTTCTTCGACACTGCTCCAAAGTGGAATTTTTCACAAACACTTGGGGTTTTTTGTTTTTGTGGGTTTTTTTTTTTGAGACGGGGTCTCCCTGTAGTCACAGGGACCTTATATAGACAGGGATGGCCTCAATCTCACAGAGATGAGCCTGCCTCTGCCTCCCAAGTGCTGGATTTAAGGCATGCACCAACATGTCCAGGTAACACTGGATTTTTTGTTAATTTTTATTTATTTAATAATTTTTATTGTATGTGTATGAGTGTTTTGCTTGCCTGTATTATATGCCAGTACACCATGTGCATGCAATATCCATGGAGGCCAGTAGTAGATGTCAGATCCCCTGGAACTGGAGTTATGGATGGTTGTTAGCTGCCATGTTGGTGCTGGGGAACCAAACCCTGGTCGTCTGCAAAAGTAACCAGTGTTCTTAACTACTGAGACATCTCTCTAGCTCCATAAACACTGCTTTTAGAACATTTCTCTTTAATGCTTAAGAATATGTAATGAGAGACTGGAGCGATGACTTAGCGGTTAAAAGCACTGACTGCTCTTGCAGAAGACCCAGGTTCAAATGGCAGCTAACAACCATCTGTAACTCCAGTTCCAGGGGATATGATGCCCTCTTCTGTCTTCCACAGCCACTGCATGACACAGGTGCACTTACATACATGCAGGCATAGCACTCATAAAATAAAAATAACATGCAATGAGTCATGTGTCATAGCACATGTCCATAACCCTAGCGTTTGAGAAAGTGAGACAGTAGCATCATGAGTCCCTGGCCAGCCCTTAGCTACATAGCAAGTTCTAGGCCAGGCTGGTCTAGGATACATAAGGAGACCCTGTTACAAAAGAAAGTACAATCAAACAAGAAAGCATATCCTTGAGTGAAATATTATGCATCTTCATATAACCTTTATATAATATTTTTGAAAGTACATAACAAAGAATTATATATTTAAAATATTACTGTCATAGTGAAATGCAAAATTTGAATACTTTTTAAATTTTATTTTTATTTTATGTATATGTGTGTTTTGTCTGCATGTATGCGAGTGCTCCCATGTTATGCAGTGCCTACAGAAGCCAGAAGAGGATGTCAGATCCCCTGAAAGAGGAGTTACAGATGGTTGTTAGCTGCCATATGGGTGCTGGGAACAGAACCCAGGTCCTCTGCAAGAGCATCCAGTGCTCTTAACCACTCAGCTGTCTCTCCAGTCCCAAAATTTAAATTAAATCCCAAACTAAAAGAATAGGTTAAGCTTACTAAGGCACTATTCCTGGTATTTTCTAGGTGAGTGTGCTAATTTTTCTGTGCCACTAAGAATGCTTTGGTGGAAAACTTCAGCAACATTTGTGTCGCTACTATACTTAATCAACCATAGCGCTTGTCGCTCACAATACCTTCCTTTTTATCTTCCCTACATAAAAGTTTCTGAGCTACCTCTTATTTAATATCTGTCACCTTCCTTTTAAGTTTTGATTGCTTATATCACAGGTACATGGACAGCTTCCTAAGTGAATTATAAATTCCTCAAGAAGAAGGCCATATTCGTGTGTGTGTGTGTGTGTGTGTGTGTGTGTGTGTGTGTGCAGAGACATTTACCACGGTGCTATATAGTAGTTGTCTCACCACAGATGATTTGTTGAGTAAATAAGGTTGAAATTTTGCACGGGAATGTTTTGTGTGATATAATATTACTATTTATTTATCTATTTGTTTATCTATTTTTTTTGTAGTACTGGTAATTGTGCTTAGGGTCTCACATGTGCTAAATGAATACTCTACCATAGAACTATATCCCCAGCCCTCCTTTCACTTTTGAAATTTTTAAGACAGTCTGTCTGACTTAACTTTTAAAGTAAACTCAGAGTCCAAAATGTATAAATTGCCTCCTTTCTTTCAATATCTCCAACAACACAGTTCCCTTCCCACAGTTATATTTATTTTAGTTCAGAATCATAAATGTTCAAAGAGAATTATATTGCTTCTGATATGGTTCCAGATCTATATAGCTTCACCGTGTCTATAGTATTACAATCAGTTTTGAGTGCTGTGCCTTTAGAAAGACATTGAAAAACTTAAATACAAGCAGAGGAGAGAGTCCAGGATGAGAAAGGGATTCAAACTCATGTCAGATGAGGAGAAGATGATGTCCAGCACACATTAAAGAGGCTAAGGGGGTATATATGACTGGAAATTCTAGGTACCAAATCCTGAGTCCCTTACCTTTGAAATTTAATTTCCTGTGCACTTTCCATCACTAAATGTCAGAGAGTTAGAAATGACATACAAAGCACCAATTTTCTGAGCTTCTACAGTGGTCTTTTTGAATAAAACTATTATTATACTTTAGGATTTAATTGTGGCAAAGACAATTTTTATGACAATATTGTTTTATAGGTATGACGCCCGTTTCTATGTAGGGAAAGAAAGCTAGGCAGCAAAAGGAAACAAAGAGAAAAGGAAATAAAATTTGCTGCATGAAAATTTGCTAAATTGAAGCAATAAGAGAATCAAGAAGTGGTTTGAAGGTGCTTTAAATGCCCCACACTCCTAACTCTAAAATCTCTCATTTCGACTGTCACTAGCAAAATACATTTTTTAAAGTTTTTGGTGTAGTTTCAGCCTGAGTACATTATTAATTCAGTCTAATTCTTATACCTGTGGGTCATACAGCCCCGTTGGAATTGGAAAATGGAATATCAAAAACTCTATTTGCATGCTACATTTGTTTGTGTTTTCTTAATGTTCACAAACTTTTAAAACATTGGTATATGTATATCAAGCACCCTCCACACAGAGACATGCATACATACTGAGATGCATACTTAAGACTTTTTAGTGAATGATCCATGATCAAAGTGTAGAGATAGCTATGCTAGCCAAATACTTTCTTCATATCCACTCTTAAGTTTCTTTTGTGTAACAAAAAGAAATGAAGCTTTCACTGGATCCAAGCTCACTACTTGACTGAGTTTTTTAGGAGTCAACAACATCAATGATTGTATTATAATAAGAAATATTTGAGTGCTTGCCCAAACACAAGAGAAAGGAAGAATGACTTATTTCAAGTTAGGAACATGGGTGCTAAAGGAGATGTTCTAATTGCTGGGATAATCCTAGGAATTATCTCAAGATAGCCAGAGAACTATTCAGAAAATGCAATTCAACAAAAATACATTGAACCTGTCTTTTCTGCAGACCCTTTCCTAGGAGCTAGAGGTAGAACCTTAGATGAATCACACTCAGATCTTGTCCAAGGGAAATTCACATTCTAGTGATATCAGAACAGTCCATACCACCCTTCCTTCAAAGAATTCTCTGTTCTTTGCTGTGCTAATTTTTTTAGCTTACTTCTCTTTTCTTATTATTTCTGTATTTTACTTCCACTTCTCCATGTGGGCCAAACTGAGACTCTTGAAAATAATTGTAAAAGTACATTCATTATGATCCACAGTGCTCCTTTTCTTTGCTTTTAGTAAAAGTTGACCCCACCTCCATGTCTCCACTGGAGATACCAAGTGATAGTGAGGAAAGTGCAATTGAGAGTGGATCTTCAGCCTTACAGAGTCTTCAGGGATTGCAACAAGAGTAAGTACTCTCTCTCCCTCTCTCTCTCTTTCTGTATGTGTGTATGCCTTCACGCAGGTATAGAGGTGGAATTAATCGAACACAGCAGTAAACATTTAAGGAAAATAAAATATAGGTAAACTGCTTTCCCTGAGAAGTATATGAGTATGTGTACATACATGTATATGTTCATGTATGCAATGATAGTTACGCTCTAATTGTACGTCATCAGTTTTATCATTGAAAAAAATCTTCAAATTTCCTATAAATCACAATTTTGTACTGTTGCTCTATGTAAATTTCAAACAGCCTGGTCTTCTAAATTTGAAACTAATTGGAAGCAATTAGCTTGTGTTTAGCAACCATGTTGTATGAAAAAACACATTTTGTTAAGCACAAGAATGCCACTTGTTGAAGTAAAATGATCACACTGTTTGAGAACACAGCTACCCAAGGAAAAATTACCACCTCCCATGCTTTCTCAGGGACCTGCATTTACTGAGCAGTGATTTAGTTGAGAGAATTGCTTACATTATTCCAATTATTTCATCTCTCGGGGAGCTAGCATTAAATTTGAATAAATTATAAGATGGTATGAGCTTAACACCACTGTATGCAAACAGATTTTTTTAACCATCATTTTAAAGTCGTAGCTTGGCCTTATCTTTCTTTCTTTGCTTAGACCAGCAACAGTGGCCCAAATGCAGGGGGAAGAGTCACTTGACTTAAAGAGAAGACGGATTCACCAGTGTGACTTTGCAGGATGCAGCAAAGTGTACACCAAAAGCTCTCACCTGAAAGCTCACCGCAGAATCCATACAGGTCTGCCCACCCCCACCCCTAATTTCACTATTCTACTCCCAACACACACAACACACAACACACAACATACACACACATACACACACACACACACGTGTGCACGCGCACACACACACATGCGAGCGCGCAAGATAGAAACAAAGTCTTTGAGCTAGGAAGAGAAGTCTTGAAACAAAAACTGATCATTTATACTCATAGATATAGGCTTCATTTATTATTTTTACTCTTTCTTAGTCTTAAAAGTTATAAAACCAGCCTAACAAACATGAAGCCTGGTACGTTTGGAGTAGATGTACTACCACATCTCATTTAGGCAGTGTTGGGGATCAAACCCAGGGTATCATGCATGATAGGCAAGCACACTACCAACTGAGCTATATTACTAGCCCCTTAGATTTTTGTTTTGTTTTGACACAGGGCCTCATGTAGTCAAGGATGTCTTCATTCTATGTAGATAAGGCTGACCTTGAGTTCCTGATCCTCCTGCTTCCACCTCTCAAGTTTTAGATTATAGGCATGCACCACTGCACTACTTATATTTTAAGGTCTTTAAGGATTCTCCATATTGTTTTCCATGGTGGCTGTACTAGTTTACATTTCCACCAACAGCATATAAGGATTCCTTTTCTCTACATCCTTGTCAGCATATTCTGTTATTTGTGTTTGTTTATTATAGTAGTCATTCTGACTCAATGTAGCTTTCTTTTGTGCATCCCTGATAACTAAAAGTGTTAAGCTTTTTTTCATGCATTTGTTGGGACATTTGTGTTTTTTCTTTTAGAACTGTCTGTTCAATCATTTTCCATTTATTGAGTGAATTATTTACTCTTCCCTTGTTAAATTTTTGAGCTCTTTATGTATTCTAGATATTAATCCTCTGTCAGATGAATAGCTAGCCAAGGTTTCCTCCCATTCTATCGGTTGTCTCTCTGTTCTGTTGATGATCTCCTTTATTCTTCAGGTGCTTTTAAATTTAATATAATCTCATGTGCCAAGTCTTGATTTTATTTCCTGAGCTATTGGAATCATATTCAGGAAATTGTTGCTTATACCTACATTTTGAAGTGTTTTGCTTATGTTTTCCTGTAATAGTTTCAAAATTATTGTTCTTACATTAACTTCTGAACCTTTTAGAATTGAGTTTTAAATAGGGTGAGAGTTACTGATATATTTTCATTGTTCCAGTTTTGCCAGCACAATTTATTGCAAAGTGTGCCCTTTCTCCAGTGTACCAGCATTAGATACTTCTTGTGATTGTAACTAAATATCTGAGCAAATCAACTTTAAAAAGGAAAGATTTATTTTGGTTCTTGGTTTCAGAGGTTTTAGTCCATGACCACTTGTCTTCACTGCTTCTGGTGAAACAGAACATCATAGTGAAGGGCATGTGGTGGAACAAGTGACTCACCTTACACAAGGCAGAAAGAGTAAATAAAGAAAGGACATGGACAAGATGTACCTTCAAAGTCATGTTCCTAGTGATTTACTTCTTCTACTCAGGCCCCACCTCCTATTTTCAGTCACTTACCAATAATATCATCAAGCTGTAAGAGCATTACTGGATTAAAGGATCAATCAGAGCCTTCATCATCTAATTACTTCTTAATAGCGTCACTAACTGGGAACCAAGCATAACCATTGAGACCATTTTATATAAAAATATAGCCGGGTTTTTGTTGTTATGGTGGTGGTTTTTTTTTTTTTTTTGCACTTTTGTAAAGAATCAAATTGTTGTAGATGTGTGGATTTATTTCTGGGTCTTTGAATATATGCCATTGGTCTGTGTCTGGTTTTATATCAGTTCTGTGTTCCTTGTTTTCTTATTGTTTCTCTGTAGTATATTTTGAAATGAAACATTATAACACCTCTTTTTGCTTAGCTTTGACTATTTAGGTCATTTATACTTCCATGTAAATTCAGGATAGTCTTTATTTCTTTGAAGAACTCTTTGTAATATTACAATTTATTTATTTTTATTTTATGTGTATGAGTGTTTTGTTTGTGTGTGTGTAAATGTACCACACCCATGCAGTGCCTGTGGAGGCCAGAAAAGGCCGATGGTTCCCTGAAACTGAAGATAAGGATGGTTGTTGGCCACCAAGTGGGTCTTCTGCAAGAGCAGTCACTGCCCTTAACTTCTGAACCATTTCTAAAGCCCCCACTTTGGAATTTTGATAGGGATTACATTGACTATATAGACTGATTTTAGAGATAGGATCATTTTTTACAGTATTAATTTAGCCAGTTCAGTAAATTGAGAGAGCTCTCCATCTTAAAATATTTTGAATTTCTTTAGTGTTTGATAATTTTCATTGTAGTGGTCTTTCATCTCCTTGGTTAGATTTATTCCTGCACAATTTTGACACCTTTGTGAGTGGGACTGTTTCCCTATTTCTTATTTCTTGCTTTTTTTGGTCTTTTTTTGAGATGGGGTCTCCCTGTAGCCCCAGCTGGCCTAGAACTCACTATGTAGACCAGGCTGGCCTTGTACTCATAGAGCGCTGCCTGCCTCTGCCTTCGAAGTGCTGGGATTAAAGGCGTGCACCACCACACCTGGCCCTACTTCTTGCTTTTAAAAGCTATAATTATTTATTTTGTGTGGAGGTAGGCACTTGTGCCACAGCCTGTGTATGGAGATCAGAGGATAACTTGAAGGAGTCAGTTCTCTCCTTCATCCGTATGGGTCTCAGGGATCAAACTCCAGTTGTCAGACTTGGTAACAAGAGCTTTTACTCAGTGAATCATCTTACTAGCCTCTTATTTCTTAGTTTTTGTCTTGCTTTATTATTCTGGCTAAAATCTCATGTACTATATTGCAAAGGAGTGTGGAGTATGGACCTCTTTCTCTTTTACAGAAAATACTTTGTTTTTCTCCATTCAGTATTATGCTTGTCATAGGTTTATTGTATATAATTTTTATCATGTTGAGATATGATTATTCTATTCTGAATTTCTTCAAAGCTTATGTCATGAATGCATATTGAACTGTATCACAGTTCTTTCCTGCATTTACTGAGATTAGCATGTGACTTTTTAAATCCTTGATTCTATTTGTGTGCCATATTGCAGTTATTGGTTTATATACATTAACCCATCCTGGCATATCAAGAATGAGATCAGGTTATTTGTGGTTCATTATCTTTTTGCTATGCTGTTTAATTCTGTTTGAAAGTATCTTGTTGGAGATTTTTGCATCTATGTTCATCAAGAATGTTGGTCTGTAGTTTTCCTTTTTGTTGTGTCCTCATTAGGTCTTGATGTTAAGATAACACTAACATATCAAACCTTGCCAGCAACTGATTGAGTTGTTTTTTTTTTGCCTTCTCTTACACTCACCTGAAGCCTATCCATTCCTCCATCTCAATGCCTTCACATTATCCTAGAGATTATCCAGCTTTAGAATTTATATCACGCTACCTTTTTCATGTGGTTCGTGTGTTTGCTATATAGCACAAACTCTTTTTTCCTATATGTGTTTCATTCTTCTATCCAGATGATAAGTTGATGGGGGTTATGGGGAGTCATATGAACTTACCTTGAACAAATGTGTGTTTAATCATAACAAGATATAAATGATTTTGAGATAGAAAGATGGATTGCTTGTTGAATTACTGTTTTAAGTTCGGATACTCTAGCAGTGAGCTCAGATTGCCACATGGTGTCACTAATTTAACAAATCGGTGTTACAGTATGATTGTAGTGAAAATAGGAATTCTCAGGAGACATCCTTGAGCAATTGCAACAAAATATATACATTACAATGTGATCTTTGTGAGGTGTGGAGATGGTTTAAGGAAAAAGTCAAAAATTTCATTTAAACACTCTTTATAGTCTCTGAAATCTCATTCTCCTTTCTACCTGTTAATAATTTCTGTGTAGCCTTCCTGTCTTTTCCTTTTGTTTGGTGTGTGTGTGTGTGTGTGTGTGTGTGTGTGTGTGTGTGTGTGTATGTGTGTGTCTCTGTGTGTGTTCATTCAATATGTTTTACTTCTCATTTGATAACATTTCATTGACCATCTTCAGTCTTGGGGTTTTTTTGTTTTGTTTTGTTTCATTTTGTGTTTTTGAGACAGGGTCTCCCTATAGCCATAGCTGGCCTGGCACTTGCTATGTACACCAGGCTGGCCTGGCTCTCATACAGATCCACCTGCCTCTGCCTCCTGAGTGCTGGGACTAAAGGCGTGCACCATCACACTGGGCTTGATCATCTTCAGTCTTAATAGATTGAGTTGTATGTCATTATTCTTTGCAGCTAGTGTTGCAATTTTTGAATACTGAAATGTTCAATAACTAACATCTTTAATCAACCAAATGGTTTCTGGTAATGGTCCAGATCTGTGAGTCAGGCTGAATTCTATTTGTTCTCCATTATCTAAAAGCTATACAGTTAATTAGTGAATATTTGGGAGGGTTAAAAAACAGTTTATGTTTAAAAAAAAACAAACAAACCAAGAAACAAAACCCCAAAAAACAAGTATATGCAAATCAGATAACCACCAGAATTTTTTTTTGTCTTTTTTGAGACAAGGTTTCCCTGTAGCCCCAGGTGTACTGGAACCCACTGTGTACACCAGGCTGGCCTTGAACTCACAGAGATCTGCCTGCCTCTGCCTCCCAAATACTGAGATTAAAGGCATGTGTCACCACACCCAGCTTCCTGCCAGAATTTAAAGCAAGAATGTTGCTTTGGAAAATGATTTGGAAATTTTATAACGAGGAAAGGAGGGACAAGAACCCGAAGAAAAAATACTTAAAATCTTAAACATTTTGTGTCTGCATTATTGTTTGTGTCTGATTATAAAATAGTATGTGCTCATTATAGAAAAAAACAGCTATATTAAGGGGAAAACAAGTATTACCCTAATTTTATGATCCACACTTAATCACAGTTAATACTTATTCATGTTTATATAGCTTATTTCCTTTAATTAATTAATTAATTTGTGACAATCTCACTAAGGAGCAAAGTCTGGCCTCAAATTCTTGAACCTCTTACCTCCCTTACTCTAATACGATTCAGGACTCTCAGGCAGTCAGGGAAGGAGGCTGGTCTCAGGAATCCAGAGCAAGCAGGGAAGGAGCCTGGTCTCAGGAATCCAGAGCAAGCAGGGAAGGAGGCTGTTCTCAGGAATCCAGGTTGGAGGTGGGACAGCCAGGGATGAAGGCTGGCCTCAGGTATATAAAGGTGAGGTGGGGAAGGGAACAGGCTTTGAGGCCTCCAGGGGCCTAGACTGAGGAATTGGGTTGGTTTGGGTACAAAGGATCAGGAAGAAGTGGGGAGTCTGGGCCAAGACGGTAGTCCACAGGTCTGGGGTGTCAAGAGAAGAAGGGGGCCAGTGCCCATTGTAGGAGGAGAGCGGGGTCCAGACACATTTTTATTACAATCTTAAAACAGACTACATAAATTTGAATTTGTGTTATTTGGGTTCATCATAAAAATCAAAGCATGGGTCCTCTACAATAAAGTAAGCAGCCACCACTCAATAGACCCACTCAGTTTGTTTTGTTAAAAGGGTTAAGTTTAAGAGTAAACTTTGTAAAAATTTAGCATGAGTGAATAGAACATTATACTTTATTTTGTGTTTTTGAGACAGGGTCTCCCTATAGCCATAGCTGGCCTGGCACTTGCTATGTACACCAGGCTGGCCTGGCTCTCATACAGATCCACCTGCCTCTGCCTCCTGAGTGCTGGGACTAAAGGCGTGCACCATCACACTGGGCTTGATCATCTTCAGTCTTAATAGATTGAGTTGTATGTCATTATTCTTTGCAGCTAGTGTTGCAATTTTTGAATACTGAAATGTTCAATAACTAACATCTTTAATCAACCAAATGGTTTCTGGTAATGGTCCAGATCTGTGAGTCAGGCTGAATTCTATTTGTTCTCCATTATCTAAAAGCTATACAGTTAATTAGTGAATATTTGGGAGGGTTAAAAAACAGTTTATGTTTAAAAAAAAACAAACAAACCAAGAAACAAAACCCCAAAAAACAAGTATATGCAAATCAGATAACCACCAGAATTTTTTTTTGTCTTTTTTGAGACAAGGTTTCCCTGTAGCCCCAGGTGTACTGGAACCCACTGTGTACACCAGGCTGGCCTTGAACTCACAGAGATCTGCCTGCCTCTGCCTCCCAAATACTGAGATTAAAGGCATGTGTCACCACACCCAGCTTCCTGCCAGAATTTAAAGCAAGAATGTTGCTTTGGAAAATGATTTGGAAATTTTATAACGAGGAAAGGAGGGACAAGAACCCGAAGAAAAAATACTTAAAATCTTAAACATTTTGTGTCTGCATTATTGTTTGTGTCTGATTATAAAATAGTATGTGCTCATTATAGAAAAAAACAGCTATATTAAGGGGAAAACAAGTATTACCCTAATTTTATGATCCACACTTAATCACAGTTAATACTTATTCATGTTTATATAGCTTATTTCCTTTAATTAATTAATTAATTTGTGACAATCTCACTAAGGAGCAAAGTCTGGCCTCAAATTCTTGAACCTCTTACCTCCCTTACTCTAATACTGAGATTACAGAATTTTACCACTCCTAGCTTAAATATTTTACTAAAATATATATCATGATTTTAAAGTACCCAAACAGTACAAAAAGATGTAAAATTGAAAAGTCTCCCACTATTCTTTACCCTTACTTTCCTCATTATTAACACTTTCTCGAATAATTTGCACTTCAGTGTGTCAATGCCACCTGAGTATACAAGAGTGTGGGCGTGTAACATATGCATATAATGGGATCATGCTGTGTTAATGTGTTTTGTACTACTTTTCCACTTTTTTGTCCTGAGCATGTATATCCCATATATAATGCAGTTAGGATGTGAAAATTCTGAGTGTGGATCTTTTTTAAAAAGTTAGACTTAGTACTGTGCCATTCCATGCACTTGAGTTTCTGACCTTAAACAGAAGAAACATTTAGCTGAGTGCTCTTTCCACTGAATCACATGTTCTTACTGAGGATGGCTCTATTTCAGATTGTTCATTAGGAAGTATTAGATAAGAGGATATAGCTAGTATACTGTGGTAGAATGGAAAGTGTCAACCACCTAGGTTTGTGTTACTATTTGTATCTAAAATGTACCCAACAAACTCATGTGTTTGAAAATTTGGTCACCAGCTGGTGATGCTGTTCAGGGAAGTTATGGAATTCTGGCAGGTGGAACTTAGCTAGGAAGTACAACTCTAGGAGGCATGCTTTGAAATTTAGAGCCCAGTCCCACTTTCCACCCTCTTTGTCCTTCCTGATGTGCAGAGATGTGTGCACACAGGTGAATCAAACTCTTGTCAATGTGGAGCCTCCTGTCATCATGTCATAATGAGCCTTTCTCCCCTAACTTGCTTTTCGTCAGATATTTGGTCCCAGAAATAAGAAATTTAAACTAATACAGTTTGGATTCCAGTTGTACTGTTAAGTAGTATCTAATATCTTTTTCTTTTGAGACAGCATCTCACTATATAGCCTTGCCTACCCTGGAACTCACTGTGCAGACCAAGCTGGCCTCAAAATTACAATGTTCTTCCTGCCTCTACCTCCTGAGTGCTGAGATTTGAGGTATGCTTCACTATGAATGGCTTCTATTACATACCTTTTAAAAATGTTTCAAATAGCCTTGTAAGATATTTTCACTCATACCCCATTTAGAGTTGAGGAAATAGACTTGGATGGGGAAAGTGATTACTTAAAATCAGTTGGTTAGTGTGGCAGAGCCAGAATTCAAAGACCAGCTTGAGACAGAGCCTATGTCCTCTCCACTCTACCATGTTAGCCTTACTTTAAGACTTCTGTGAAAAACAGTGTGCTCTAGAGTAGGCTTTAAGCATTCTCACCACCACAAAACATATATATATATATATATATATATATATATGGGGTGTATATATTAATTAGCTAGATTTAACCAATGCACCACATATGTATAGGTATTTCAAACCATGTAGATGACAAATATATATGCTATTTGTCAAACTAATTAATTTAAAAGGTAAATGAGAGCATGCCTTCAAGGTACGCTGTGATATAAATTATGCATTCTTCTGTCTTTCTAGTCACCAGTCATCTCCTGATTGCCTTTGTTTGTCATATTCCCCTTACAGGAGAGAAGCCTTATAAATGCACTTGGGATGGCTGCTCCTGGAAATTTGCTCGCTCAGATGAGCTCACTCGCCATTTCCGAAAGCACACAGGCATCAAGCCCTTCCGGTGCACAGACTGCAACCGCAGTTTTTCTCGATCTGACCACTTGTCCCTGCACCGCCGGCGCCATGACACCATGTGAATATCACAAGTCACAGCAGAGGAGCTGCACTGGTCTCTTGTGTGTACACTGAGGTCAAGACCATTTTTTCCTCTTTGACTACATCTTGCCCCTGTGATTGGGGTTTGAACAGCCTACTGAGCCAGGTTAATGAGACTGGAGAAAAAGTTAGCTGGTCTCCCAGGGGGTTCTTCATATTCTACTTTCACCTTTCCACTGTCCAGACTTCAGTTTTTTCAACCTCTCCGTAGGTTGAATTCCAGTGTGGCACCCATGGCTGCCCTCCCCCATGCTGTGTAATAGACCTTTTTCCTAAAATAACAAAACAGAAATCAAACTTAAGGCTGTGAACAAACATACGCTGCTTTTTCCCACCCCCATTTTTCTCATTTTCTAGAACTTTTATCCATATATATGTATATATGTATGTACTTATATACATATATATATATATACATAGGGAGAGAGAAAGAGAGAGAGAGAAAGAGAGAGAGAGACAGAGAGAGAGAGAGAAATCAGTACTTAAAGGCATTTAGGGATATCCTAAAATGAGATTTTTTTCAAATTCATAGATACAAGGGGCAAAACAGTATAGTTGATTAGTAAGATTTACAGAGAATTGAGTCTGAAATATAGTCTCAGACCAAACCTAAAGATTTTACAGGTCCAGTTTTACTTGTTCTTACAGTTTAAGTTTTGGACAGGAGGGTTGGTCATTTTTATGAAGTTCATCAAAAGAAGAGATTTTTTTTCTTGTCCTTATGCTTCTTTATGATTAAAGATTTTGTAGCACAATTGCATTATTTTTAGGTTAAATTTGGACAAATATTCAAAGCACAAAAAGACAGATCAGTCGGGAGAAGTATTCTTGAAAAAAACATTGAGTAGTGACAGGAAAAAGCAAACCTGGGATGACCCTGTGAGCAAATACAGGACAATTATTATTATTTGAATAAGATATTAGAACTACTGCTAATCCCAAACCTCATTCAAATGGAAGCCTGTTGAGACAGTGTTTTGATGGGCCACACTGTACTGTTTTGTTTGTTTGTTTGCTTGTTTGTTTACATAATGCAACTATTCAGCGAATCACCTGATGAGAAATTGCACACTGAGGTCATGTTATGCAGAGGTGAAGGTTGGGACTAAAAGAATTTTGTTTACTTCATGGAATTATGGCACTCATTCTTCTGTTTTGAATGGAATATAAAATTTTTTGTGGCAATTGACATACAAAAAGTAATTTAATGTTTTACAAGTACTATGAACACCTAAGCCATTTCTTTTAGCCATAACAGCAGGTTGCATAATATATATTTGGTTGCCCAATCAGACTGTTCATAATATTCTCTGGGACATAAAACCCTCTGTTCCCACCCCCGGACCTCAGATCTACCTCTACATGACTTATTTCCTCTCCTGGGGAAAGAAGAGAGGGGCTTCGTATCAATTGGATTGGACAGCCTCTGTCTTAAAAGTTCTTTTCGTACTAAACCTTATTTTTTTCTTGTCAGATATTCAAAAAGTTCCTTCTTGAATAATTTAGGTTACTACCTCCTGTAGCGGTCCTTACTGAGTAAATCATAGAATTCTACCATCAAAAAGGGATCCTGTTAGCTGTCTAGTTCTACTCATGCCTCATATTTTACAGATGAGACAAATACGGGTCAGATTCTTTCTCCAGATAGTTCCTTGCGGCCTTATAGACCTGTATAGTCCTTCTCCCAGGGATCACATTATTAAACCAAATTAAAGAAAAAGAAAATGTGATTGGTTGCAATATTTGTCCAATTTTATATGTTATACTTAAGAAAACTTTAGATCCGTCAAAATTAATGTGTAGTTGATGACGAAGTAAGTAAAACAGTCTTATGGTCATTGACATTTAACATTAGGTACACAGTCTTTCTATTTTCACATTTTGATAATATCTAGATTTTTATTTATCTTGTTTGAAGTTGCTATATCTTTCTAGGCCATAAACTCGATAAATTAAGGACTTCTTGTACTTTTCAAGATGACATATAGGTTTTTACTATTAACACTGTCTTGATATGGGATTTTTCTTGATTTGGGGCATATAAATTCCCAGCTATACACTAATTATTAAAGCACTAATAAGTATCTAGGGCCAATCTATTAATGGGAATCACTATGTAAGTGTTAAGACAGATTGGTAAATGTGAATTACCATCATGTGTGGATTTAAGCTTATAATTGAGTACTTGGTACAATATTTTATAGTCCAAAGGCTTACCCATTTTTTTTTCCATTTTGGATCCTAAAATTAGTTTTCCAGAGTTCAAAATTGGTATGTGCCCCTTAGACCTCAGACTCTTTTGCATTTAGACACATAGTCTATGCATATCTGAACACTATCGTTATTATACTCATTAAAATGATCAAATTATGATCCCAAATATCAACATTCCTAGCATCTCTGAGCCTTTACTCGAATATTCTGCAAAGTAGTGACTTTGCGAATGCTTTCTCTTTAGTCAAAAAGCAATTCTAACACTATTTTCATTGACCTTTTTCAACAAACGGTAAATCTTTCAATTACAAATATATGCTTTAAAAATGTGTCAGGAATCATTAAGACGATTTCACAGAATAAACAGATCCAAATAGAATACAGTGCAGAATTGCTGCACCAAAAGCACATAAAACTTTGCTACAAAGATAGTCAAGTAGAAAGGAAATGAAATGCATTTCTCTTGGTTAACAGTCAAGGTTTAATTGAGTTTGATGTGCTTACACTGGTAAAGCACTGTTCATATGATATTTGCCTAGGATATGGAAATTTCATAGGGATGGATAATATTCAGAAATTTGTCACAATGGAATTCCTCCTGTAGATGATTGGCAGTTGAACTAATTGATAATTGAACTATTAATAATTATAATTTTTTTGTCTTTTTGAGGCAGGTTCTCCCCATAGCCCCAGCTGGCCTGGAACTCACTATGTAGACCAGGCTGGCCTCAAACTCACAGAGATCCGCCTGCCTCTGCCTCCTGAGTGCCGCAATTAAAGGCATGCACCATCGTTTCTAGTGATTATTACAATTTTTTTTTGAGGCAGGGTCTCCCTGTAGCCCCAGCTGTCCTGGAACTCACTGTGTAGACCAGGCTGGCCTTGAACTCACAGAAATCCACCTGCCTCTGCCTCCCAAGTGCTGGGATTAAAGGCGTGTGCCACCATGCCTGGTGATTATTACAATTTTTAAACGTATGAAATGTGAACTGGTTGGATGGATTAAGTGGAGTTTTCTTATGTGCAAAACACAAAGCTTCGTGATAAGAATTTCTTTTTAAGTAAACTTTCCATTTTGGAACTCTTTTAGATTTTCAGGAAAAAATTATGAAAATAGTTCCTGTTTACTCCATCCACATCTAGTTTCTTCTGTTATTAACATCTTGCATTAGTATGCTTCATTTGTTACAATTAGTGAAACAATATTGATACATTAATATTAACTAAAGTCAATACTTTATTCACACTTAATTTTTATTTGCTATCCTTTTTGTTTTAGTATCTCATTCAGAATATATTACATTAATAATCATAGCTCCGTAGTCTCTTCTTGGATGTCACAGCTTCTCAGACTTACTTTGCTTTCAAGGACCTTGGGAGTTTTGAAGAGTATGTTCTTCAATTGGGATTTATCTGATTATTCTTCTCATGAAGACACTAGGATACTGGATTTGGACCAGCACAACCACACAAGTGAATTACTATTTTCTTGCCGTTGTATTTCCATGACTTATCATACTATCCTTAATCATATGACTGAGGTAGTGCATATGAGATTTCTACCCTTTTTCCTCCTATCCATATTGCACCTCTTTGGAAGGAAGTTATTATATGTAGACTACACATAAGAAATGGTGAGCTGTGCATGAAGTCCTTGAGAGCAAGTATCTACATTATTTGAAATTCTGTATGAGATATTTCCCTCCTCCTCATTTATTTATTTATATAATTGTTCATTTATATATATCAGCATGGATTCATTGATATTTATTTTATAGTTTATATTATAATCCGATGCTGGTTTTATTTTGTTGCTCAAATTGTTGTAGCTTTTCCAGTAGGAGCTCTTTTGAATTGATACCGGAAATCTTTTTGATGTAACCCACCTTTTTTCTTTTTTTAGCCTGTGTTTAATTTCTGGCACAGAAAGATGTTTCAGGCTCACCTTGCTTTTTTGTGAGGTCAGTTCTATAATCAGCCACATCTGCAACGAGTCTTGGTTCCTATCCGTAAAAAGTTGTATTAGAAACCAAGATCCCAGCACTGTGTATGTTTGTTGCTTTAGGGTTATGGTTGTTTCAGGGCCTTGTCCACCAACACAACAAGGAAATATATGTGTGTATATATTAATTTACATATATGCACATGTCTGTAAACATTTCTGTAGGTAATCATCTGTTTCTTTAGCTATACATGAGTTTATATTGATGTCTTCAACCCTATTGCTACATGTCTAGTTTCTTTCTCTTAATTATTTGCATAGCCTCCCATTCCTATAATGAGAAACATGGTTCCACATTCTGCCATTTATTTATCAATTGTCTAAATCCAATTTAGATACATATTAACAGTGTTTTAAGTGTTATCCTGTACTCCCATAAGAAAAATCTATTAGCTAGAACCTGGTGCTTATGTACACAATAGTAACGTTTTAGAATTTCAACAGCTCTTTAAAACAAAATGGTCAACAAAATTTTAGAATTAGAGTTATCTATATTTTCGGTTCTAGCCTACTCTCAAAACATTTTCTCATGCATGAATCAAACCATTGGAAATGGACCTAACTTTGAATAAGTCAAAGGAACTTACTGATCTTCTATAGTGTGCTGATTCCTATATAAAGGGTGGATAAGAAACTGCATGGGCCCAATTTAAAGAACTACTTAGCACTATTTTTTTCTCTACTATATATGGATCTCTGACAACTGGGTGGTACCTGAGTCACCTCTCTTCTCTATTTTCCCCAGTTTCTAGGCAAGTCACATCACCTCTCTGTGCCTCTATTAACCCATCTACAAAATGGGATCCACATGTCTACCTCACAGAAGGTTTGTGAGGCTTCTTAACAGGTGTCAAAAAATGATGAGCAATCTCTAATTGAACAAGCAAGTATTATAATCATTACTATGATGATAATTAGAGTATCCTATATTTACCTTATGAAAAGATTAGCCCTCATGTACCCATAAATATTTAAATTTGAGTCAACATGAAAGATAATTGAAGAGTAGCCACTGGAAGCAATATATTTCTTTTCTTACTCTCAGTTTCCCTACATTCCCTTTGTTACTAACTATAGGATTATCAACTGTTTCCAGACTCAAAAAATATTAGTACCTAAAATAATAGGCAAAATACACGGTTTTAAAAGTACCCCTCCCCCATTTTTTACTTTTCTTGGACTGCATCACATGTACTTTTGTCAGAAGCACAAAGACAACTTCTCAAGGGCTGTTAGTCTTTGGCCAGTTCAATTTCATCGGTTAAATTTTGTCTTTCTCTGCGTACTGTACATTGAACAGTAAAAGTAGGAGGGGTATGGGGTGGGGTGGTTGGGTTGGGAGTGGACTGGAAGAAATGAAAATTATGCAGGTGTTTTTCAAACACTGGCTATTACTTTTCATTTCATTTTCTGGTGGTATGTTGGGGGCAAGGGAAGAGATACTATTTTGTTAAAAAATTCTCCTTCCCTTTCAATAGATGTATCCTAGGGTCAGTACAAATAGCTGTGTTGGACATTACTTTTATAACTATGTTGTATACAGTGCGTTTTTATTGTATTCCTGAATAAAAAGGGTTCATCCTTGGGTTTTTTTTTTTTTTTTTTTTTTTTTTTGACAGGAGGTCACAGCAGGAAAGCAGTACCAGAAATTGACTCTCTTTTTTTAGTGGTCGGGAAAGGAGCCTACAGTGAAGGAATTTATTGGACTTTGTCATTGTTTATTGACAGAAATTATAAAACAGTACATTAAGCATTAGTCTCAATAACTTTTATGTTTGTGCTTCCTTATTTTAGTGCTTTAGGGCAGCACCCTATTTTCAATCCATTTTACACTTGTTCCTGCTCCAGAGGTATGGCTTTGAGCAATCTCTCATATACAAGTTTGTCATGTTCCTGAAGACACTGCAGAAATGCCTCAGTAAGCATGGCCACCCAGAGGTTACTCTGTTGTAGCTCAATGGGGCACTGTTGTTGTGGCATCCAGGCAGGGTGTGTGCTTGAGTACTAAGCAAACGTGTTCTGTCTGATTACTGTACTTTTTTATTAATAAAAATATTTTAAAACAGAAATCGTGGATTTTATGTTCAATTTATGTTCTCATTGTATTTCTTCAATATGGAACAAGTAGCATATTTTCTTTCCCTTTAATTGAGAAGTTGCGATGAAAGTACTGTATAATATTGTGTAGCAACAAAGGAAGCCAGGCTGTCTCACACAGGGATTTCCCTGCACATGCAGCCTTCCTCAGTCTTGCAGATACATACCCATGAGTAGGACTTGATGAAAACTGTATGCTGCTTTTGTATATTTCTTATACCGGATCCCACAGGAGTTTATGGGGTTCAAACTCAATTGGATAAGTTCCCCTGCCCAGGGCTGTTCTCTTTGCCATCTTAGTTTCCTTTATAGGAAGTAAAGAGGGAAAGGAGGGCACTGAGACAAGTTTGAACTCTAAAGACATCTCAATACTACTCCTGAGTGGAGCTGTCAGAAGCTATCTCATCCAAAACTTTGTCTTCTAAAATGAAGAAAACATTAGGAGAAACATTAGGACAAAGGTAGAAAGAAGAAAATTTTGTAAATGAGATTGATGTTTGGCAGAAGAAATTAAAAAGTGGCAATTACCATAGCTGCCAGAATGAGATTTTTACTACAAACAGTACAGATAATAAATTTCGAAGTTTAAAGGTTCCCCAGCAATATTTCCTTAGTGAAAAGACAAATTTATGATGAAAGTACCATTAAAAAGAGATTTTCAAAATGAAGTTGGGCAGCTATTAAGGACTCAGGATTTATGCAAAATTCATACTGCTATCTAGAAATCTACAGCATGAGCATCTCCACTTTTTTTCCATAGACTGCCTTATACATATTTCCATTTTACATACACAATTTTTTATCATCTAGCAGTCCTATAACACTTGTATCTTACCGTCCATCAACTCCCACCAATATAAACTCCCACTTATCCCACCAACAGAATACTAATTCAGAGCTATCTGAACCTGAGTCTCCAAAATCAAAATGTCTAACACTTTAAATAAAAATTTTAACTTTCTCAGTTTCTGCCTTTGGATTGACTGTCAGTAGATTCTCAGGAATGGATCTAAGTGACTCATTTCTACCTCCTGTGCTGTCACAGACAGGAGTCCCTACAGGAATTCTCCTGTGCTCCGCCATTTCCCTGGCAGTTTCAGGATGTAGGTTAAAGACCTTTCAATTTCCCAATCTTTTATGTTATTTTCAAGATTCCAAGTCTTTAAGTGTCCTTTGTTGCTGGCTGCCTAGCACGAAAATCCCCAATTTAGGTGTCTAGGAGGAGATTTTTCATTTCAGTTAGTAATAAAAAAAATTGGGGGAAGAGTTATCTATACAGTTGAAAGAATAATGATAGCATAAACCCACATGCATTTACTATTCAGATTAAAAACAAGACATTTGAGCCGGACGTGGTAGTGCACACTTTTAGTCCCAGCACTCAGGAGGCAGGTGGATCTCTGTGAGTTCAAGGCCAGCCTGGTCTACATAGTGAGTCCCAGGACAGCTGAGGCTACAGGGAGACCCTGTCTCAAAAAGACCCCCCACCAAAATAAAGACATTCACTGCTTAGACCTTCCGAAGATAGTACTCTCAGCACATTTTGTTCTCTTTTCCAACAGGTACCCTTTATCCTATTTGAGTTATAATCATATCATTCCTCTCTTTTAAAAACATATCTTGGGGCTGTAGACATGGCTCAGTGATTAAGAGCACTG